CAGAATCGTTGACCAACATCTCATCCAAAGTGCATCCAAGATGCACTTACACTCATTTTTGGTTTGCCCACCTGGGAAGGTCAGAAAGCCCCTGGTCCGGTGAGTGGATCACACCGATGCGTCATGCGGGCTCTGGGATCTCTGGGATCTCTGGGATCTCTGGGATCTCTGGGATCTCTGGGGCACCCGGCAAGGAGCGTTCCATGCATGACCATGAAGAATGTGACACCCATGCTCCACATGTCGATCTGCACACGGATAGGGATAGGGATAGACTCTAAACTTGCACATGCCTGCACATGTCGTTAGCTGGACAGGTGATGACAGCAAAACAAAGGTCTCTTCTCCTTCAAAATATGTTAAACATGTTGTCCGCAACCTTAACATTCGCCCAGACTCATATCGTGACAGAACAGAGACAATTCTGTGTTGCTCGGAAGTTGCGAATCCAGGCAAGGCCAAGGGGGAAATTAGGCCACGTTGGCATGTGAAAGATACCTTGTATACAGTTATCTTCATGAGGAAACAATATCACCTGATCATAATGAGGGATCCAAATCCGCCACCCCCTATGACCAATATGCTGAACGGGCTAACAACACGCCACCCTCTATGGCCAATATGTTGAATCGGGTAATTACGTCAACATACGTCAACATTATCTTCATGAGGGAACAAAATCCGCAACCCCCTATGACCAATATGCTGAACGGGCTAACAACATCAACTTTATCTTCATGAGCGATCAAAATTCGCCACCCCGTCTGAACAATACGTTGATTGCGGGACATCAACGCCGGGCCAACGTCCAGGTTGCAGCGAACATGTTTAATTAAATATGATTTAAACGGCTATCGGCTATCTATTTCGCTGATCTAGCTGCCCATTCTGCCCAGGCCCCAGTCGAGACAGTGGGTTTTCATGGTTTTTGCGGGCCTTGAATTCATAGCCTTGTCGTAAAACCATCTCTGGTGCCATGAAAGCCGGGGAGCCACAGACCTCATCGACCATCTTGGACAACCCATGGTGGTTCCAACATGTCCCAACCATGCTGAAAGAATGGGCATTATCATCCGAGCTAGAGTGATGGAAACTAGACATATTTGAAATAAATTGAAATAACATAAAATAACTGGTTTGAAACCACCAAGCAGTTTTGATGGTGAAACCCCCGTGATGCCTTGCTCTAATCGCCATTTATTGGCAGCTAAATCCCAATGATTCCCCATTTATTCTCTCAAGCTCCCAATTTCTGCTGGGAAAATCCAGTGGTGAGTTTAATCTCCAAGTCTCTATCGTTTACTAGCTATATGACCATGGTTAAAACTCAAAATTTCTAGCGCTTTCCATCTCTTCCTGCTTCGCCCCTTCGGCCCCTGGCCGCTTCCAGCTTCTCACCCGGATGGATCTCCACAGAAAGGCCAAAGTCTGCCAATTTCAGGGTCCTCAACGCGCAGAAGGCGAAGTTGCTTGGTTCATTTTGGTGCTCTGATTAGGATCATCATCACCCAATCGTCACCACGTATCCCCACATTTGGCGGATAGTATGTAACAAATTGCTATATATACATATGTCAATACGTATGTATGTATGCATGCATGCATGCATGCATGCTATGTATGCAAGGATGGATGGATGCATGCATGCATGTATTGCATGTACTGCATGTATTGCATGTACTGCATGTATTGCATGTATTGCATGTATTGCATGTATTGCATGTATTGCATGAATGCATGTATTGCACGTAATGCACGTAATTCACGTAATGCACGTAATGCACGTAATGCACGTAATGCACGTAATTCATTTATGCATGTATGCATGTATGCATGCATGTAATGTATGTAATGTATGTAATGTATGTAATGTATGTAATGTATGTAATCCATGTAATGCACGTAATGCATACAATGCATGTAGTGCATCTAATGTAATGTAATGTAATGTGATGCGATGCGATGTAATCTATGGATTCATGCATGCATGGATGGATGGATGTATGTATGGATGTATGTATGTATCTATGTATGTATGTATGCATGCATGTATGTATGTATGTATGTGTATGTATGTATGTATGTGATGTGATGTGATGTGATGTGATGTGGTGTGGTGTGATGGTATGTATGATGTGATGGTATGTATGATGTGATGGTATGTATGTATGTATGTATGTATGTGTGTGTGGGTATGTATGCGTATGTATGTGTATGTATGTGTATGTATGTGCATGTATGTGTATGTATGTATGTATGGATGTGTATGTATGTATGTATGTATGTGTATGTATGTGTATGTATGTGTATGTATGTGTATGTATGTGTATGTATGTGTATGTATGTGTGTATGTGTGTATGTGTATGTATGCGTATGTATGCGTATGTATGCGTATGTATGTATGTGTATGTATGTGTATGTATGTGTATGTATGTGTATGTATGTGTATGTATGTGTATGTATGTGTATGTATGTGCATGTATGTGTATGTATGTGTATGTATGTGTATGTATGTGTATGTATGTGTATGTATGTGTATGTATGTGTATGTATGTGTATGCATGTGTATGTATGTGTATGTATGTGTATGTATGTGTATGTATGTGTATGTATGTGTATGTATGTGTATGTATGTGTATGTATGTGTATGTATGTGTATGGTATGTGTATGTATGTGTATGTATGTGTATGTATGTGTATGTATGTGTATGTATGTGTATGTATGTGTATGTGTATGTATGTGTATGTATGTGTATGTATGTGTATGTATGTGTATGTATGTGTATGTATATGTATGTGTATGTATGTGTATGTATGTGTATGTATGTGTATGTATGTATGTCTATCTCTATCGATCTATCTATCTATCTATCGATCTATCTATCTATCTATGTATTGTCTGTATCTATTGTCTTATATTACCTTATCTTATCCATGTATCTATGTCTCTGTGCATCTATGTATCTCTGTATCTCTGTATCTATGTATCTGCGTATCTATGTATCTATGTATGTATCTATCTATCTATCTATCCATCTATCTATCTATCTATCTATCTATCTATCTATCTATCTATCTATCTATCTATCTATCTATATATACACATCATATATATATATATAATACTGTACATATCTATACACATATTATACATTAGATCAAAGATTCAAACACCACCAGCTTGGGGGATGCCCTAAAGGCATGTCCTTCCATCGGGACCTCCGTACAGAAAGTTCTGCACCTCAGAGATGCCCATGGGCGTTTCCAGAGTCATGCGGGCAGCTCAATATATTCGAGAGCTGGATGGTTCAAAATGGAAAGCCCCAAAAAAAATAGATGATATTTAGTTAAGGGATTACCCCCATAGGAAACCTCCATGGTCCATTGAATAAATTTAATTGTAATACCTCGGGGTTAAAGATGTTACTGTTAAAGAATGTTAAAGCCCCAAAGGCTACGGCTCTGAACTCGACCCAGGCACTTTGATGTCTCGGTGGAGAATCCTTCGGTTGTGCATGTGTTGGACGCCCAACCTGCGGGAATGAGGAGCTGATGAGCAGCTGATGTTTGCGTTGTCTAAACCTGAAGAGATGACACAACTGAGGCGCAAACAGTGCTTGCTCAAAGTCATGCCTCGACGGATACAGCCACAAGCTGGGATCAACTCCAACGTGGTTTGCGAAGTCATGGGCAGCAAATCTTCAGATTATTTCAATGCCAACTGTTGCGAACCATGCCAACCCCGTTTGGCCATCCAAGGATGCAACGCTAGCTCTGCTGCGGTCCACTTTGGTGCAGACATCACTCTATCTGACCTGATTTCAACCAAGGTTGTTCAAACATTTGTCCAAACGACTCGGCCAACGGTATACCAAAATGAATCTGGGGTGAATTCCCTCCTTCCTATCTTCCTGCTGCGTTGTAATTCAGAGGTGGTTGGAGACATAAAAAAATCGAAACAGCATGCGGTCGAAGAATATCAACGCACATCCCATTACATGTCTCCCAGGTGCCTCAAGGATTTCTGAGGTTTGGGCAGAGCTCGCGGACAAACCTCCATGAGAATGAAGAAAACATTTGCTTCTTGGCGCCTCAGGATGAAGCTTCCGCATGCTTCGGCATGCGGGTGGTGTTCGTAAACTTTTCGGCTCACTGGCTGCCAGTGGCTCCAACTTCCACAGAGTTGCCTCCTCCGTTTGCTGGGCCGCGGACAAGTCGTAAAAGCACACCACATTGGGATGCCGACCTGTCCAACAAATCATCCCAACAAATCCAGGATGCCTCAAGATGCCTCAAGACTTGTTTCCCTTAAATCAACCCCTTGATTTGTTTTGAGATCAAACCACACAGTCCACGCCTAGTTGCCTCCATACGATCACTTCGTCAATTATGACCCACCTGCCACAGTTGATCATTGAAAAAAGGTTTCGCAGCCCAGCGGATACCCTTATCTCGCAACCCAACCCCCTAACTCCGGCAGGAAGTTTTTTGGGGGTCCAAGGAGTCCAAAGACTCAGCCGGGCCCGCTCTCGACCAAACTGTGCTGCTTGCACTTTCACTGCTGAAATCTTTTGGTTGCGTTTGTCCTGGGTCTCGAGCCGGAATTGTGGCCCACGGGGAACTACAAAGGCATACGACTGCACAACACATCTAAAATATCTTTGGACAATTTCCCATTTATAGACTTATAGACTAGATGATTGGCCTATTAAAAAGATAGTGATTCTCCGATTTTCCATAGTCATGTTGAATATCGGATTTCTTTTAGTTGTCCCAACATGTCCCAACCATGCATTTCGGCCACCACTTTTCATCTGAAACCTTAATCCAAAGCCACGCCAAACCTGTGCCTGCAGAAGCTTATCACTTCTAGGGTGTGGTGAGTCCTCAGTCATTTCCTCTCTTCTCCCCTCCAAACCTTCCCAAACAGCACAACTGACTGCCTGGCTTAAAACCAGTGGTTTTAAGCGAGGCGGTGCGCAATTCAGTAAGGCGCAAAGCTTTGCCCAAAATGCGATTGCCTTGCTTAAAACCGCTGGTTTTACGCGACACGCTGCCGGTCCATTTTTGGTGATTTTTGGAGGTTTGGGGAGGAGATGCTCGGAGTGGAAGGAGAGGAGACGAGAGGAAAGGAAAAGGAGAGGTAGTTACAGGTTGGACCAACCTACCCCAAAAAAAAGAACTCCCAAAAGCAATTGCACAATGCCCCCATGACGATTTGAAAATCAGGGCTAGGGGGATGTTTGTTATGACTACGGTGACAAAGGTATCCATTTTTGGTAGTCTGTCCTTTGCCAAGTAGACTTTGCCATAGGATCCCTGCGCACAAAAATGTTGGCTGAAGCATCCACAGCAGCGCAGCATAGCTGGCACTCAAGGACTACTATGAGAGGCAGGAACAACCACACCTGTCCAATCTTGTCCTGTAAAATGAACCTGGGCGAAATTGCAGCATCCAAAACAACAACACGAGCGAGGACCAAAAAGTCATTCTGAGTCACTTATATATATATATATTAAGATATATATATATATATGTGTGTGTGTGTGTTCTCTTAAGCTTTGGATGCATCTTTGCCATATGTAGATCAATGTAGATGCTTGATCTATGCAAATCTCAATCATATGTGGAGATATGTATCAATGATCAATGATAGAATGAATCCAAGGGCTATGGGTTCCACTTTTTGGCCATCTTGGCCCCCCAACTGCTGGTAGAAGGCAGGCCGTTCTGCTAGCTGAATGCCAGCGCAGCTCCCCATGACCGCAAGAGAGAGCCCGGCATCGAGGGCTGGCAGGTCTTCAACACATCGACAGTTTAGGCCTGGCTGAAAAGTTGAAACACATGGAGGAGATATGCTGAGAAAGAACTACCATAGTCATGTTTTTTTCTACAACAATCTGAGAATATCTGAGATGTTTCTTTATGAAAATCCGATCAGCAAAACCTGTCTGCCCCCACTCGTCACTACAGACTGCAAGATCTTTTAGATCGCAGTCCAAGCATGCTCGCACTTCTCCAAAGTGTAATTGAGAATCAACAGCAACTCGATATGGATATGACTCATATATGACCCATATTACTGTATCTATATGACTCGGGTATGACTCATATGATATGACTCATATTCATTGCTTCTCTAACTCCTGCTGGATGCTGTGATCAACCCCGGCTTGGTGTCGCTTAAGGGCTCCATGACTCGAATTGCACCGGCTGTGGAAAAGTGCGAGAGCTGAGACCCAAAAAAAAGATGTGACCGTCCGTTTTCAACGGCACAGGACTTGAGCCAAACAATGTCACAGTCGCTGATAGACCCAACAAGTCAGCCGAAAGCCCAAAAGTTGGGTTCCGAGATGTTTGGAGCTTTGGAAGATGTTCAGAGTGGAAAGCAAAACTTGGAGGGCAAGTTGGAATTGTTTTGTTTGCAGGGCTACAGGTAGGCATTTCTACGTGAGTGCTTTTGTTTAGTGCTCATGAGTTAATTAGATGGTTTGAGAAACAACATCGGAGGGCTACTGTGCCATGAACCACCCCAAGCCATGACTTAGACAAATACTGGACAGTACCTAGTTGGTCGTTGCAACCCTCTGAGAGTATTGATCAGGGGATCATCCATTTCCAGGCACTTTTGGGAGAACTAATGTTCGAAGTCACCAATCAGTTTCAATTGATCATGCTTGCATGTTCTTGGTAAACAATGTTGTGTGTGTAAGAAGAAAAACAGGGAACCATAGCTTTGCCCCATCAGGTCTTCTGGTTTCGATTTTCCCTGCGACATCCTTTAACCGGTTCCAGGATATCTATGGTGGGTAAAGAACCTCCAATCGGTTCGTTTTCCCAATGATCTTCCCATTTGTTGCCGGTGAGCTTCCCATTTCCAAGGAGGGCAGCAATGGCGCGGATTTTCCTCCCTACATCGAAGCATGCGCAAGGTGCTCGACCTGGCACGGTGGAAGCAGCGATGCTTTTTGGATGTCAATATGTACCCACAGATACAGGAGCCATAATTTGGCAGGGAACGGATGAGCTTTGGCTTGGCAAATGCTGGCAGATTTAGATTTAGATTTAGAGAGAGATTTTGTGAGATTTTTAGGATGCTGAACCCAGCTGAACCATCATAACCGTCCAGTTTTCTGACTTTGATGGCCAGGTGATGGTCAGTTCTGAGTTTCCCTGCAAGGCATTTCGCTCCGCATGTTGGGACCGGTCATGCGCCGCCTAAAAAGTGCGATGCTGGCAAGAGTTCGATGCTTCGCGGAACGGGCATGACAAACTGCTTTGTTGGCCATGCACTTAGGGCATTCTATGGCATTCTAGAATGTTAGTATATGTTAGTGCACCATAGATCATCATAGTGCATCATTCACCCAGCACTGGTTTCAAAATCTGTGAAGACGTGGCGATTTAGTGGCGATTATGTAGTCATTGGACGCCTGTCGACTCCCTAAGGTCAAAACAAACAGAACTGGAAGGTCGATGCTCGTGGCCATCAAGCCTGGTGCCATCCATTTGATCCATGGCGACCGATGTCATGCGATTTGATATAAGCAGTGGTTAATGATGGCTTGATTCCATCCAAATCATTACAGGAATTTTGATTCATTTTGATTCTGAGACATCTGAGACTTGAGTCAGAAATCGAATTAAATGTAGAAATGTTACACTATGTTACACTGCAGTATACAGATCATCTAGGTCCGTACGCATCATAGGAATTGCCTACCCGGCCGCTTAGGACATGTTGACAGGAATGCTTGCGCATGGGCTGACGCCATGCATCTATCACCAAAATGCTTACGCCAGCTTGCGAAACCCAGGCTTTTGCTTACACCAGACAGCCATATGACACAACTCTTACCCTGTTCATGTGCTGATCAAAAGATATCAAAAGGAAAAGTGTAAGGTGATCCATGATGCCATGATGATTCAAATGTACAGCATAGATTTACACCATGCACTGCGGTGTCATTTTTTCACAACAGCAACTCCTCAGGCACTGGTGGGCCGTCCAGGTCGCCACAACATAAGGAACAATCCTCCAAAGCGTCTCCACCACTCGTCATTTCCACCAAATTGTAGCCATCACACTGAGCAACTGTCACCTGGCATGACTCAGATTGATATTCATCATTCTGCAATTTGGATCATCATCCCAAAGAAGATTGCAAAACCAGACACGTGCGTTTTTATTGGATTTATTAATTTGGAATGCCATCCCAAATCAGTTTTTTTTGTATTCAGAATATTATTATCTGTCTATACATGTGTGTACGTAATTGTATGCAAGTGTATGTGTATCTGTGTGTATCTGTGTGTATCTGTGTGTATCTGTGTGTATCTGTGTGTATCTGTGTGTATCTGTGTGTATCTGTATCTGTGTGTGTGTGTGTGTCTGTGTCTGTGTCTGTGTCTGTGTGTGTGTGTGTCTGTGTGTGTGCGCGTGTGTGTGTAACATCTGGATAGATGTAAAACTTCCTTCTTTTTTCTTCCCTCTTCTCCCTTTTTAAATAATGCAGGGGGATGGAGAGGACATATGAGGCTCCATCCAACGAAGCTCCTCATATGATCCTAGGATATCACCAGGGACGCCTGGTGACGTACCTGCAGTTCGGAGTTTTTTTCGGAATAGCATGGGGCCAAGCTCAGAACCCCACCCACAATGTTACACAATTTGCTGCACTGTTGTCGCAATCTGGAATCAATGTTGGTCATTTACGATTAGTTCAGCTGCAATCTGCATGTTTCAGGATTCAGTTCCTGCCGGGTCATATAATGATCCATTCTTATCTAGTGTGATTCCTATGGTGACTCCGACATGGTGCCATAGGGCCAATTGAGGCAACCCTGTTTAGGGTGAATGTCGACTGACTTGAATTCCGAATTCACACATTTTAATTTGGTAATTCGTTTAAGTAAAGTGCAACAGTCAGCCTTGCGGTTTGTCAATCTTTTCAGATGTCCGCTGTTCCCGCGGTCCAAGGGATCCCAGTGCTCCGTTCTTTCAAGTGAAGCCATACCGAACATTCAGAAACCTCCGTCTTTTGCAGCAACTTTTGCAGTCACACGACATCATTTCAAGACTTTGAGAAAAGGCAGGCACACGACTTTCAGGTGTGGTCCTCTTTCTTTTGATGGTTTTCTGGTGAGGTTTAACATTTTGTGCACCTAATTCGCTGGAACCTGGAAGCTGTTATATGCCAATTGGGGCAAGACTTGACCACGGTCCCGGTGCAGGGAATACTCGCACGACCTTTAGGAGTTAGGAACTGGGTCCTGTCTTTAATTAATTGTTTTGGTTTTCTTCTCTGTCATCAACTAGTCCCCCATTTGGTCCCTAATTTCCCCGCGTGCCTCTCCGTATTGTGTCGTGGGGTTTAGGTGTGTGCGCTGTTTTGGTCAGGTCCGTTTCGCCGTGTAGGTTGGTTCCGGAGGTCCGTCTGTTCCCCTCCCCCCCTGCGCTGTTTTTGGCCGTCTGCCCGTCGTGTGTCCGCTTTTTTCTTCCTCTTGCCTTTCAGGGTTTTCCCGGCTCTGCCGGGTGTGTGTGTGTGTGTGTAACATCTGGATAGATGTAAAACTTCCTTCTTGTTTCTTCCCTCTTCTCCCTTTTTAAATAATGCAGGGGGATGGAGAGGACATATGAGGCTCCATCCAACGAAGCTCCTCATATGATCCTAGGATATCACCAGGGACGCCTGGTGACGTACCTGCAGTTCGGAGTTTTTTTCGGAATAGCATGGGGCCAAGCTCAGAACCCCACCCACAATGTTACACAATTTGCTGCACTGTTGTCGCAATCTGGAATCAATGTTGGTCATTTACGATTAGTTCAGCTGCAATCTGCATGTTTCAGGATTCAGTTCCTGCCGGATCATATAATGATCCATTCTTATCTAGTGTGTGTCTATGAGCGTGTGACTATACATGATTATATGTATGCATGTGTAAATAGGTGCAAATAGATGTAAATAGATCATATTTCAAATTACCAACCAGTCACGCACTTGTTGGGTACCATGGCATCCGCCGTGCTGGTGCCCTTGATCTTACCAAGCGTTCGCCAGGCTCCTGCTTCAGTGTCCTGTACCCATGCAGCGTACTGCGCTGAGCGGCGATGGCAAGTCCCCGAGAAGGCTTCGATGAAGCTATACAGCCCATAGAGTTTACCACCTGGTCGTTTCTTTTTTTCCAGAAAAATTGGGGCTCAACATCATCCCATTCTTTGTAAAGATGGGTAAATGGAAAATGTTTGAAACATTTTGAATCAAAGCATTGTTGGTCATATATTCCATTATATCCCCATGATATCCCCATTAATTAGAGCTGGTTAAACCCCCATTCTTCGTTGATTAGTGTCCTGCTTGTTGGTTGGTCAAAGCCACGGTCATCGGCAGGTTCAGGACGGAAGTGTCTGGCCAGCTCAAACCAGCCTTCAGGTTTATGGAAGCTGCACGAGATTTCCGAACCCCCATCCACAGCCGTAGAGCGGACCTCGGTCCGAAGAAAAGTTTGAAAAGTGGAAATCCACCTGGAGCCAATCCTGCTGCCGTCCTCTCATCCAAAAAAAGTGCCTTTCAAATTCATGATAAGATTCCAAGCCAAGATAGCCAAGGCACCAGGAAGGTGTAGGGAATGCCAACTCTCCAAGCAGCCAGTGATGTATCTGTTCTTTCCCCTGTCCCGGTGATTGCATAAGCACCCATACCCATTCCTTCACCCCCAAAGGGCTGCGCAAAAACACCTGGTGCCACACTTCGGTTTTGCACCTTTTCCGCTTTAGGATGGTTCCATAAGGAGAACAAAACCTGTTGCTTGGAACCATTGTGCTGCTGTATGCCGCAATAACCACAGTAAAAGCCACAAGCCATGTAGTAGGTACATGGCGAAACTTCTTGCACAGTCACACGGCATGCAAATGCATGTACCTCTCAGCGGGGATCTGCCAGTACCGCTTGACCACCGGTAGCATAAACACGGTTGGGTCTTAATCACATGCCTACTGATGTGTGTGTGTGTGCGCGCACACTGTCTAGATTCTAGATAATATGAACTTGGCGTGTATATGTGTGTGTGTGTGTGTGTGCATATATGTGTGGCTAGGTGTGTGCATGTGTGTGTCTGTGTGGCTAGGTGTGTGCATGTAGAATTGAAAATAATGAATACAAGTACCCTAAAAATCTAAAGTCCGATTCAGGCTAGGTTTTTGCCTTAAGACCTATTTGGGAAACCAAAGGCCAAAGACCTATTTAGGGACGTTGGATATAGTAGCCTCGAACTTGCATATTTGTTTGATTTGTTGTTCCATCAACACAACTCAGATCGAAGCCTCGGTGACGACCTTCACGATTTTAATCGGTCACGATTTTAATCAATCTTTCCACGGTCTATCCACTGGTTGTCTGAGTCTACGGAAAGCCATGGCACCACATGTTTTCTGTTTTCTTCAGAACTAATGTTGTCTGACCAATAGTGATATCTTGTCAATAGTAGAAACATTTTTCCGCAACTCCAGTTTTATGTCAAAGTCAATTAGCTCTATTTACTTTTAGTATTGCCAAAAGAGTCATGTTCAGACCTTGTCCAGAGGGCATTGCCAATAGTGGACCCAACATGGCAATAGTAGAAACTTTTTTCCCAACTCCAATTTTTCCCCAATACTAAAAGTCAATTAGCTCCATTTACTTTTAGTATTGCCAAAAGAGCCAAGTAAAGCAAATCCTTTTCAAAGCAGCCTTCACTTTTGATTAGCAAAAGCTTAGATTCCAGAAATCTGATCCAATTACTAAACAGCTGATTTCCTTATAAAACCCTTATTAAAAAAAGCAAGAAAACAGGTCCACAAAGGGTACCCCCTTTGCAAGCCCCAGAATAGCAATAACAAACCTGCACCAGGCATGGCAATAGTGGAAACTTTTTTCCGCAACTCCAATTTTGTTGTCCTCCTTCTCCTTCTTCTCCTCCTCCTCCTCGTCCTCCTCCTTCGCCTCCACCACCTCTGCCCCCACTTCCATGTCCACTTCCGCCTTGCCAACTCTTCGCCAATCTCTCAGAAACCCAACCAAATCCATTCAGAATCTATCAGAAACCCAACAAAACCATGGAGAACCTATCAGATACAGTAATTACATATCATGATCCCAGCTATAGATTCCCACAAATTATTATAGGAAGGTTGACCCCCCCTAAAATATTTTTCAAAAAAATAAAATTTAGGGGGGGTAATTACTATTAGGCAGCCAACATTATATTGAATCATCTCGCCGTGCCCAATGAGCTTTGTATCCTAAATCCCTGCAGCACTCTTCCCTTCAAATAGGCCTCAAGATTCACATTTAGGTCTCTCGCGAAAGACCTATGCTGGTTACACTGGATAGGTGACGCACAAGGAATAGACATGAATGGACACAATACGTTTACAGTGTCCAGCTATATCCAACTGACAGTTGTATATGGAAGTTTCCCAAAATGAAGATCCATTGAGGATTTTCCATGAAACCATCCAGCTATTGGGGATCCCTCATGACTACCCCCGGCCTTTTGGGACTCGACCCATCTCACATGACACGAAGGAGCTGGGTCTCGACCCACCTTGAAAGAACAGTCGGGGCGATACTTCGAAGGCGCCAAGTAGAAATCGTACTCCGGGGAGGCCACCATCGCCTGCAACGTCTGCAACGAAAAGATGCCAGAAATTGCCAAAGGTACCCTCTGGTAAACTAACATAGCTATTGAAAATTGCCATTTATAGTGAGTTTTCCCATCAAAAATTGTGATTTTCCATAGCTACGTTAAATTACCAAAGGGTATCAAAAGGTGTCATGGTTTCTGGGACTTCAAACATCAGATTCTATTGTGTTGCTGCCTGCGAATTTTCAAACCAGACCAAGAAATATGATGAAATAATAGAAATAATGAGTGATTTTGGATCATCCCAGATTCAGAGGAAAAATGAGGAAAATATGATGTCAAACCACCAAACAGAGCAAGCGGATGTAAGCCATCCAAGCAAAGGCTGATCAGCCCAGCCTCTTTGAGATCGGCCTGCCTTCTGCGGTAGAAAAAACACACTGGAGGATTGTCTTCCTCACCAAACCTGGTTGGTCATTGGGATTTGGTTTTCTTTTATCATCCCAGGCGGGATGGGAAAAAAGAAAACGATGTTTTCCGATTCACCACCGAGCAGAAACTGATTGAAGTGTGGCTTTCGCCATGCAAAGCCCCCACACTGCAAGTTCACACACTTTCGCCGCATGTCTTCGAAATCCTCCTCGGAACGGACCACCCCGGAGTTAGAGACTGCGCTGCATGACACTGTGGTGTTCACGAACTTCTCCCAAGCCCCAAGCTCGTCATCCTCGTCCTTGTGCACTGGGGCCACTATATACTTCTCCCAACCCAGATATGGCTGGGAACGACTGCTACCATGAAATCCGCCAAAGGATTCAGGCTCGGTCTCCAGAAATTCCTCCAAATAGTCCATGTTTAAAATGACCCAGCCATCACCGGCACCTGATGCAAGCATGCGTTGCTTGTTGGGATTTAGGAAGATGGGTTTTTGGTTCAGCTCTTTCCCGGTCAATTGGAGGTACCTGCCACTGCAGGATGCATAGTCATCAGATCCTTCTTTTGTCGCGAAGTCAAGCCCTGCGGTCTCATCAAGCGGGTAAACGGTGTAAGACTCCCATCCATCATCGGGACGAGGGTCAGAACTTGAGTGAAATCCGCCAAAGGCGGTTCCTGCGCAGAAGAACGCTGAATACTAGGAAGTTCACATGGCTTGTCCAACTTCCCAACGTACGCATATAATCGTATATATCTACAAAAGAATGTACAGATCTTCCATTGTGCGAACATTGAACATCAAACTAGACGGGAACGGGCCTGAGAGGCGCCTGGTGGTTTTAAGGGCGCGTGCGTGATTTTCCCTTTGGAATTGCCTATGCAGTGTTGCACGCCTGTTTTTGGACGTCCTGAAAACTACTTCAACCATTGAACAATTTGCTCATGGCTGCAAGTTTCTCTGAATTATTGCCGCGCAGTTCGGTTCTGCGCCACATCCATTGCCAGACCCTTTGCTCCAATTTTGAGGAGTGGGTCACCAAGTCACCAGTGCCTTTCTTTTGGAAGTTTCCTTGCAAAGCCAGCACTTCAACGATTTCCAATCTGAATCAATGGCCTGTGTTCCACTGATCTTGGACAATCCTTTGGGCACCTTACGAATTGTGGAAGCATATTCTTTATGCTGATGATTCACTTGAAAACAAGGAACTTTCAAAACTTTCGCACCTTTGGACCATGCATGAGCACCATCAGCATAGATCAACGTAACATCATGAGCGTCACATGAACGTTAACATCCCAATCCCACATGAAAACCCCCCACCCCACCACCACCATCATCATGATCAACGTAACATCATGAGCGTCACATGAACGTTAACATCCCACCCCACCCCACCCCACGCCACCCCATGATCAACGTAACATCATGAACGTCACATGAACGTTAACATCCCACCCCACCCCACCCCAACCCACGCCATCATCAAAAAAATTAACCAAAAAAACAGAAAAAAAACACCAAAAAAACAACAAAACACCCAGGCGCCCTGCAGCGCCCATGGCAACTAGACACATGCACACAAAGATGCATGTTCGTATACTCATCATTTAGGTGATTTCATGACTATATGACTATATCATTAGTTATAACAGTTACATATATAATAGATATATCACCAAAGGCCCCCATAGAAACACTAATCAAGTATCCCACCAAGTTTCTCTGCTGTTCCAGGTGTTCCTTCAAATCAGACAAGGGTCCAATGACCCATCCCCCAGCACTTCTGCCCAAAAAGCGGCGTTGCTCTTCGTTTTGATAGACCAGGTGGCCATTGAGGAGATGGCCGTCGCCTACGACTGGATCGACTGGCCTATAGAGGCCATGACACGTTGCATAGTCAGTTGCTCCATGCTTCACCCTGAACAGCAAGATGGCCATGGCTGAATTGAGGACACCTGCTGGCAACAACAAGCCTTGCCAGCTCTTTTTGATCTTTTTGGGCATAGAGATCTTGAACCGAATTTCAAATAAAACGTGAAAAGAAACACGATTCAGTGCTGATAGATATGCGCACTCGCATCTTCACAAGGTATGTAAATGTCTGTTTGCAAAAGAAGCGGGCAGGTGCTTGGATACCGTTGCAGGCATGTCAATGTCCGTTACTTTTCCGTGAGCCACCCTTAGCCACATTTAGCCACCCCGCATCCCAGAGGTGGATGACCAGAAAAACTCCATGCCGTGGCACCACCTCCCTGTGCCGAGATCTCTACCTTCGGAGTCTTGCCACCCTTGCACGCGGCCACCTTAAGGACATCCATGATGTGTGGCTAGTGTCGGGGGCGGCATGGGCAAAATTGAAAAGCCTCCGGTGAAATTGGAAATGCCGAACATGTTTTTGTCCAATTTCCATGCTTCAAATGTCAAAGAGGTCTTGCCCTGGTAACAAATGCAACATTCTCCAACTATGCTACAACAATCCAGCTGAGCCCTAGTTGGAAATGCCAAACGATCCAACAAAAGATTGGAAAACTATGCTGGTGACTTGCCAAGTACCACACCTGTAGTGAGGCACGGGATTGCCACCTCATCGTGCGAGGTACACAGCGCACCACATCTACAAGCGCAATCAAGTGCATACGACTCTCAAAATATCTTAGAATGCATATGGCAACCACCAAAAAAAGAAATATCAAAGCCACTATTATTATATAATCTATTATAGTGTATTATAGTGTTGCCATGTTTTTTGAATCTTTTCAGATTGTCAGGTGCGCAAAAGAAACACCAAAGGTGCTGGCCGCCATCCAGGCTAACACTTGTTGGGCCTCGGTCCAATCACTGGGCTACTGTACCACAGCATCACGGCAATTTTAGGTTGAATGTTGAAATAATTGAAATAATATACCAGCAACTTAGGGCATAACCCAACAACCATCCCTGAACCTGCCATGGCCAGAAAGGTGTTCTATGGATTTTTCTGCTCTTTCCATTCCTTTGTTGGCTTGGCTCATCTGGCCAAGACCAGATCGTCGATAAAAGCAGTTCGGCAAGGCGTTGGCCGTGGGAATCCGTTGCGGACGCATCAGTAGAGCACACGAAACGTAGAGCTCTACGTCTTACCAAACAGTGTGGGCAACGGGGACGACTTGTCCTCTACAATATTCAATATCTTTCAATGATTTTCAATACGATTAAGTGCAGAGATCCATGTCGGACGTGAGCCAACGGCCTGGCCTGTTCAATTAAGCTGCTTTGAGTCAATATCGTCAAGGTGACAACAGATGACAACAGTCTGAAGGATCTGTCCCACCCGAATTAAGGACATAATTTTGCAGCAGCTACCTCGCTGCCGCGTGAAACAAGGCTTGAAACAACGACTGCTCACCGGCACAGGAAAGGTTGAGACTCTTGGGAATAGCTCTGCGTTGCATAGCAGGGCCTCCCTTAGGCCATGGGGCCATAATTGATTCTGCGCCTGTAACCGGCGGAGCCCGGAGTCTCTCCTGCCAGGCAAATCAGGAAACACTTCACCAAAGCAGGGCTGAATCACGAGGTTTACGGCCAGGCCTGCGACATGTTTAGGAGCAAGCCACACCTTCAGCTGCACAACACCTCAGACATTGCTGCAGCTGCTGCTGAGTTTGGGTTATTCTTGTCTGCGCTATCAACTCTAACTCCGGAAACAATGATGAATTTTGCCCATTTTTGCCCTATCCAAAACCTCCTGTGCTTTCCATGTTCACAACTCCGAGGCGCCATTGCTGCTTCTCCCCCGACCATTCCTCTTTGAAATTGGCCAAGTTGTGGCGACAGTCGAAGGGCATAGAAGTCATGGAGCATCCAATTCCCACCTGCCACATCTAAAAGAAAAACGCTGGGGAATGGGATTCGAACGTTCGCGGCCATTTCATGATATCACCAATATATATATATATACATACATATACAACATGTACATGTACATATACATATGTACATATACATATTGTTGGATCAATCCCAAACACTGGTAGGGGCTCCTAAATTCCAATCTTTTCCAAAGTAAAAGGGGACCCTGGTCCAAACACCAATGAAAGCACCTCCGGATGCTATGGCGACCGCGCCCTTTTGACACCACTGCAATTGGTGCAAAGTCGAGGGGCACCCTAAGCCCTCAACACATCCTGAGCCACAGGACCTTGAGATATTCATGGTACAGATACCCACATGGAGGCCAGTTGATACAACTCGTTGTAAAGCTTCCGAAACTGCACCAAGTTGGAATGCAAAGAGTTGACAAATCACACTCCCAAAAAATCTTTCAAGATCTTTGTTTTTCAGTTTGCTCTGCAACAAAAATAAATTCTGCCTTCTCAGAGATACCTCATCATGGGTACGTCCATGCGCAGGGAATGGAACTGTAACCTTGGAATCTGGGACATCAGCGATGAAAATTGCTCTGATAAAGTCCGCATCTCAAGATTGAAGCGAGATTTCTTCGCATCCAGCTTCATCAAAAATTCCCAACAAAAGCGCAAAAGCATGCAAGGCTGATTCTGGACCACTCGACTGCTGATACCATTGCTGACGCACTTTCTTGTCAGCACGTTGTCGAAGGATTTCATCAACATCATGGAGAATACATCTCCCTCGGGACAAAAAGGATCTCAGCACAGAGTTATCCATATCTTTAGTTAGACTATCAGCCATTTGAGCGGCACTGTGGACCCATTTAATTATAATCCCTTCTTTTAGACGATCACGGATTACCAAAGCTTCTAACATCGTCCTATATTCTGTACACTGAGGGATGGAAGTCTTTTGCAGAAGGTCATAAAGGCTTTTGCAATCAACCACAGCGAAAGCCGGTGGAAGTTTCTTCAGAGTGATCTCAGGGGTCTGCCATTCTAAGTTGGGATTCAGCATCCAGGCCCAGTGCAACCGAATCCAGCTGAGGAGATCTAAGGCACCCGAAAGGGCGTAAGTCTCAGACGCCAGAGTGCTTGAAACAACACGGCTGATTTTTTTTGAGAACCAAACCAAAGGGCTGACAGCGGACATCTGAGTCTTATCAATTTCTTCTGTGGTGGCAAGTATAAGACATCCCTTCTGTGAATTGGCTTTTTCTCTGGTTGCGAATGCAGCATCAGAAAACGAAAGAAATCTTACTTGATCGGGAGGAAGAGCTTGTATTCTGATTTCTGTATCTGAGAAACGCTTCGCATCATTCAGCAACTTGTTCCCTTGGATTAAATCAGCCACAGTGGCACAAGTCACACGGGCTTGCAACAAGCTAAGGCGACACGATAAGTCTGGTCGTGTGTTCGTAGCGGCATACTGTATGCTTCCGATCAACCCTCTGAGGTCTTGCAACTCTTGGGAAGTGACTGGCAATTCCGGAGTTCTACGCCTGTCTCGATTGATGTTAATGGGAGCAATATCATTGAGATAGCCCTGCTGACTCAGAATAATGTCACCATTGATTTCCTGTCGCAATTGTACCCCGGTGAAGGTAAAGGCCTTGTGACGTTGACTTCCAAAAGGATACTTCTTTTCAAGCAGTTTGATTGCACGTTCAAAAGTCTCATCTCCACCCCCAATACCGTCGTCCACATGAATACCCAAAACACCATGGATCTTGGGACCTTGATCATTGCTTGAGGATTTGCGAGGCAACACAAATAAGCAGGGGTCCATAGGAGAGATAATGAATCCGATGCTCAAGAGTGCACTTTTGAGTTCGCAGTACCAAAGGAGGGGAGCGTTGATGAGTCCATAGGCTCCTTTCAAAAGCTCACAGGTTTCATCATCCCTTAATCCCATTTTGGATCTAAGTTCTTGGGGAGGTTCTACACCAAGGATGCGGTCATCTTGCCTACTGCCCCTGAGAAACGCGGTTTTGATGTCGAACGATCGAACACCCCATTTGTGGCTAGCGATCGCCTGAAGGGCCAGCATGCGGCTGTCACGACCCAGAGTAGGAGAGTCCCTGGGTAAAGAATCCAACATTGGATCTTCGTAACCAAGGATAACAAGTCGCGCCTTGGCCTTGCGACTCATTCCAGTCTCAGCTTGTTCGACCTCATCCAATGGCTTCCAAGTGAGGACCCAACGGGATCTCAGAAGTTGGCCTTCAGGAACCTTATGACGTAAAATACGCCTCACCGTATCTGTTGAGAGCCAGGATTCAACTTCTTTATCTTTGGCCTTTTTGAAGAGAGAAATTTCTTCGGGGGATAGGTCTTTCATTTTCACTTCAATTTTCTGACGTTTGGCAGCGGACGCCAAGTAGATTTCCTGTTGAACATATGTCTTTCCTAGGCACTTCTGAAAATCATCCAAAGTCAAAAAGATTTCAGCATGAAATCCTTGGCCGGTATTCTGAGACTCACTGATGGTATGATTTACCAAACAGCTGCGATCTCCCTCAGGTATGTCTGCCACTTTCCGCAGGGCGAATTGTGTCTGACCAGTCCAAGGTTCTGGAAAAGGCAAATGACTTTGAACGTTGTCCTGCCAACTTTCAGTACGTTCAAAAGAACCACCTGACAAGTACTGTCCATAAGTGCATCTCATAGATTGGATATCATCTAAAATCACTGGACATGACCATGAGTCATGAGGAAAGAAGGGCTCCAACCGAGGACACACATGATGTCGGATGAGTAGTTTGGCACGGATTTCCCAAAAGTCAAGGGGCATCTCCTGAACCACTAAATCATCATCAACATCATCAGGAATTGGTGTAGTAATTGCAGGATCATCCGCAACTGGGGTGGATGGTACTGGAGGTTCATCATCTGGTTGTGAGGCGGTCGATGGTGGTGGATTTGGTATGTTATCAGTATTGGCCGTTTCAGGGTTTGGAAAAATGGGATTGTTAATAACAATTTCGGGTTCATGTCGAAGTTGATTCCCAGGTCTAGGCAACTGCTCTGGCATTGGTCCAGTTTGGCTGG